AGACGGCTTTGAAGTTTGTGCTCCTTAGCCTGCATTTTACATGCAACATTTCCAAATAATTAGAGTAACGAAATTAACTAGCAACTCCACGTAGGGAAAAGAAGATCAAAATCTCCATTCATCCGTTTTACGTTTTATGTGCACACAAAACTAATTTCTGCCTCGTATCTGAGACCCCTATCACATCTTACGCTCAATTTTCTTTTAGGTAAGGATATACAATGCAACTTCAGCAAAGGGATCAAAATTAGATGGAAAACATTTAAAATGCAAATTTAGGATCATGGTATTAATATGAAAATAATGTCTCCAACTCATCTTAACGTCCCCGCGTTTTTGACGGATGCACGAATTCTTCCCAGATTCGATGTGCCTTCTTTACATCTCAATCTCCAGGGTATTACAAAGAAAGCCTTTCGTTTCCATGCTGCTTACGTCCAGAATTTGTTTTTGAACGGCAGCAAAGGTGATTATAACTGTATTCTTCTGATAAAGGCAACACCAGCGTGCTTTAGAGATCAAAATTTGCAGCCTATGAAAGCATTGAAAATCTAAGTAGGTGGTTAATCACGCTACAAAAAAGTGAATTTCTGACACCAGGCTTAAAAGATATGAATGGAGCACAGGGACTGAAATGCCAACCCAGTTGAGGTTGAGACTAATATAAACACAACTCAGGTTCTCTGCCCTTTTGGCCTCGCTAGCAGGAGACGCCACCCCCCACCTGCCTAGGGCTCTTCGCAGACTGTTAAAAAACATAATTGGACAATTTCCAGGCCTTAGGAAAAAATATTATATGTGCTACTTCTAAAACAGAAAGAGGGTTAAGTCACTGTAACAGAGGATCAAGGAGTACAGTGATCCAGAAAACAGGGGGATGCTAGGGATGGTGGGGATACGGGGTCCCAACAGTGACGTTTGCAAGCGCCACCAGCCACCAAGTGTTGGTGACCCACACCGAGGTGCACGGTCTTTACATCCATTCCTTCTCCTCTTCTGAAAAAGCCCCTCAGAAAACTCAATGGGACATATCACGGCATTCAGAAACAACACGTGCAGGTTACATGCAGGTTTCTTATAGGTTTCGGAGAACCTAGGATGGACTAACTTGGGCACCTGCTGTGCATTGTTTCAGAGGCGTCCGACCCTCCCAGAGCCGAAGCTGGGACTGAGTTCTGGGACAGAAGGAATGCAAGCGGGAAATGGGTCTCAGGAAGGTTTGGAAGCCTCTCTCTTGCACACATGAGGTCAGCCCAGAAGACAGAAGATGAGTTTTTTGTATGCCAAAAAAAAAAAAAAAAAAAAAAAGCCATAGACCAGAAACACATTGAGACCAATATTCTGCTACTTTCAGAAATAAACTGAAATGTAAGATTTGTGTTTTTTGTAACATACTGTGCACAACAGCAAAGACAGCAAAATGTTCCGTGCACGACAGCCAAAAAAAAAAAAAATAATAATAATAATAATAATTTGGAGCTGAAGGAGAAATGTGGACTTTCCACCTCATTGGGAGGTCTCAGACTACATACTTTCAGATGCCAAGGGAAGCGAAAGCGTTTGCATCTTGACAAATCAATAATCAGTTCAGTCTTAATCAAAAGTACTTTGAATTTATTTTCATATGGGATCCCCTTCTGACTCTCTTGTTCCATTCTATTTTAGCTGACACCAAGAAAGGGACCGAGTGTAACCAAAACCTGGTTAACAAAAGTATAGATCTATCTTCTTAGCTTCCGGGCCTAGAAGTAAATTTATGACAAATTTAATACTAGCTTGAGAGTAACTAAGCCCAATTATAATTATCTTGTTGGGAAGAGAAATTAATGAAACGTCCCCGTGATAAAGACCCCACAGCAAACCCAGAACAAACACGCACCTGGCAGAGGACAGGCGCTTAAAATAAAGGAGAAGAGAAGGGAAAGGCAATGTTTAGCCCATCTTTTGGGACAGCAATGGGACAAGGTAATCTTTTCAAGAGGACACGGAGCGCATTACGCTGGAAATGAGACTACCTGGCGGGCAGAGCCCGCCGAGTCCCTAATTCTCCTCTTCAACTGTGTGATTTGCTAATGTGAAACATATGTCCCCCGCTTTTGCACCAAGTTCAAATGACTCTGGAATTCCAACCGTGCGGCTCAGCGACTGAACCAGAACAAGGGGAGAACTTGTCAGGATTTAAGAGCTTTCAGCAAAGCCCTTCAATCGCAGCCAGCACCCTATTCCACGGAAGGATATCAATTATAGATAGTGACTTGCTTCAGCAGGCGGTCGGGCCTGTCAGACACTAGATAGACAACCATGAAGAATCATGAATCTTTCTATTAACTGTAAGAGGGGGGAAAAGAATGGGTCATGGCTATAAATAAGGCAGAGCTTCAGAATGGTTTAACACCTTGCCTCTTGGTCGCATGTAGCATGAAAATCCAACTGATTCACTAAATGTCCCCTCTCCGAGGACAACCACGGGAAGGGAAACAGTTAAGACTTCCCTCTGTCCTAAAAAAAAAAAAAAAAGTGGGGTTTGCCACTGGTACTTTTTTTCCCCGTGGATGGAAAATAATTAGGTGGATGTGGAGCTAGTCTTTCGATCGACAAAGAGTAAAGTGTTCGTGCTCTCCCAGGCCACTGCCGATGCCACCAGCTACGCCCACGAGGAGGAAGGGACTTAAATGTCACGCCAAGTAAAATCTACTTAAACGCACAAATTTGGAATCTCCACATTCCAGGTGACGAGCAAAAAGGTGGAAAATAAGTGATGCGAATGAGTGTTTTTATGGAGGTTGTTGCAAGGTATAACTTCAACCCACTTCATGTACATAATTTATCCCAGACTAAAATTAATATCATGAAGGTAATACCTTGGATTTTCTCCTAATCCTGACATGAATTCCCTCTAGCTGGTTTGGAATCAAAAATTTCCACCGTATGTGGATTCATTCCAATATTTTATGGTAAGACACACACCACGGTGGTCATTTAAGTCGACAGTTTAAGCAGATTTACCTCAAAACTGCTCAGATCTCTCTACTAAAACAGAGGCATCTCGCCACTGAGATTCAATACACCTTCTAGAGTCACTCTCTCTTAAAAGCTTTCGCGTTAAGTAGGCAGCAGGAAGGTTAAAAATGCTTCCTCAAACCTGGTCTCTAATGAGGAACACGATTCCTTTGAAATACAGACTCCGAATAAGCTCCCTCACCCGGGGAACTATAATTACAGCCCTCCCTGGAAACTACAATGACTTATCCTCAGAAAAGGCACCACAAGACGGTGTCACCTCTCAGGAGGACATTTTCAAAAGCAAGCAGCTCTGGTAACGTCTCGCTCACGACGGCAGTTCCCATGCAAACGATTCCCCTCACGAAGGTGGTTGTTCCCTCCTCCTATCACTAAGGGTACTCTCGGCACAGTTCACTCTTCAAGAATATCTGTCTACCGTAAAAGAAAAATTCCGAACTTTTTATTTCTGTCTTTGGTAGGACCGTGTCTGTGGTTTCCATTAAAAGTCAGCAAGAAGAAAGGGCCATTAAGTAAGGCTTGGCTTAAAAATAACTCTCGCATCAAATGAAAGAGAAAGAATCGAATTAGGTTCATGGAAAAATCTGGAAATATACCTTAATTAAAAACATTTGACTTTTCCAGGTTTCTTGCTGCGCTGAGAAATCTATAATCCTTCCCACACAATTACAAGGAGACATGATTAAAAAAGAAATGGGGGGGTGGCGGGGAGACCCTGCTGATGTCATGTTAACATCTTGCAACATTCTGTACCTAACGGATTGTGAATGCTGGCAAAACCATCTATTTAACACTTTGCCGTGACGGTGATGTGTGGACATATCCCAGAGGAGGAGCCAAGTTGTAGACAACACTGTGGTCGATGAAAGATGGGGGATGTATCCAGAACTGTAGAATTTTTGTGTTTCAGTGGAAAAGGGTTATCAAGAAATATGGATCCTCTAAAATTAGAAGTTACTAGAAAAGAAGAGTGCACGGGGCAAGTGTATGCAGTGTGCGTGTGTGGGGTGGGTGGCAGGGCATCCCAAGCAAGGCTGCTCTCTGAGATCTTCCATCACAGTAAAAGCAGAAGAACCGGCCACACGTAGCAGAACATCCGTAATGCCTCGATGAGACCCTGTGTTTGTTCACAGGAGTGCGTGAGCCTATGCCTGTCCCGTCTCGATGATCGAGAGCCCCTTCCATCTCAGTTACTCCCAGTCCCATTGGCTAGGGAGATTCCTCTGGCGTGAAAGAGAGTGCCAAATCAAATGGAGCATTGGCAAAAGAAATATGCCTCATAAGGTACGTGCACATGGGTGTGCGGAGCGCACTGCGTAATTGGAAATAAAACCCATGGGGGCAACACTTCTGGACCTGGTATAGTGAGACGAGGTGTGGATCTGGGCCTGACCATGCTGCAGACTGAGCACATTTTAAAACACACATCACTTTTTCCACGGAACTACTCGCCCCGCAAGTGTTGGCCTTCAGTCAAGACATTGTGATAATGGGTTCCCCAAGCATCTACCTACTAATTGCTGCATAAAATAGTGGGAGGTTTCTTGGACCTTGGGGGTTTGGAAGGAGCAGGCAGAACCGAGAAAAGGAATCCCCCACCTCTACACTTTTTTCTACCGTGGCTGGGTCTAGGAGAGGAGAATCAAACTTGGTTAAAAGGTTAATAATAATTCATGTCCAGCTTACTATTACTCAATAACCATCAAAGACGCTAACTCAAAATAGTGTTTTCTGGCTTACAGGATCAGAGTCATTACGCTCTCTATTGAAGACTTTATTGAATTTTACACTAAGCTTTAGCTGACTGAACAGGTCAAGCACCGTGGCTCAGTTTTCTTTATTCTCAGAAAGTCATAAAGCCCTCTCCGGTTTGCAACGCTGCTAGCTAAGAAACCTGACTCAGCGCAGGGTCAGGGCAGCTGACCCCGCAGGAAAGGTCACACAGTTGTAAAGCCCACTTCCCGCGTCCCCCCACTTACGTGTACCAGCTGCTCCTGGGTGTCAAACTCCCGCGTGCAGCCTTCCCAGTGGCAGTTGGTCTCATAGATGACTTCAGGCTCCTGTTTGCTTTCGTCTTTGTCCCCTTCCTCCTTCACCAGGGTTGTTCCTTCTGGCTGTTCCTGGGGGTGCGTTGGGGGTGGGGAAGCAGAGGGGGCGGGGGGGGGGGGGAGGAGAGAGGGAAAAAAAGATCAGACACAATGGAAGGGCAGATAAGAGAAAGGAAAAAAAAAGAAAGAAAAGAAAAGAAGGAAACCCTGATTGCACAGGTTTTCTTCCTGAGGCAATTTTTCAGGAAAAATAAAATAGAGCCCAGGTTTATCAGCTGCATTTTATGAACAGAAGTCAAACATATGGAATCATTTGTGTGCATGTTTTTCGATGCATGTTTTTCGAGGTTGTTAATGCGGGATTAAAAACAACAGTCCTGGGTCACCTGGGTGGCTCCGGAAGTTAAAGCATCGGCCTTCGGCTCAGGTCTTGATCCCAGGGTCCTGGGATCGAGCCCCCACATCGGGCTCTCTGCTCAGCCAGGAGCCTGCTTCCCCCTCTCTCTCACTGCCTGCCTCTCTGCCTACTTGTGATCTCTGTCTGTCAAATAAATAAGATCTCTAAAAACAAAATAAAACACAACAGTCCCAACTGTAATGATGATAAGAAGTTGAGGCCCAAACGTTGCCCCCGAATGCTAGAGGAGAAAAAAAAGAAATGGAAACGTCATCCCGTAAGGGAGGCAATTAAATTAGGTCATGCCGTCTTTACCCAAAAGACTGGCCTTTTTTCTCTTTCGGTTAGATTCTTTTTAGTGTGTTAGTTTGTTGATTCTCCTATTTTGGAATCAGGACAATGGTTTACTAGTAATTCTAATTCTGCTTTCCCTGCCACTGGAGCTGTGACAGACACTCTCTGGGTTTCAGAGGGATCCTGTCTTCCTGGTTCAAGCTCTGATCTCCGAGGATACGGGTTGTTGCCCTAGACCCACAGCATCTGAGCTTAGCAGCTGAGTCTCTTCTACTCTCCGAAGCAGCTTCACGGCAAAGAAAATGCAAACAATTTCCAGAATTTGGGATCTCATGTGGGGCAGCATGACAAAAACTGCCCATGAGCATTTACATGTAACCAGCAAGGTTGTTGGCTGGCAAAATTCAAGGAGAAGGACCGATTTCAGAACCTACGACATCCATTCACTCCATCCTCAAAGCTTTCCTCCCTCGAAAGGAAATGTGGGTGGAGGTCGTCTGAGTTTGGGGCTAGAGCAGCCCGGATGTAGAAAGGTCCAGATTCTGTGGACGTCCAGACTCCAGTCCAACCCCTACTTCCAGGGATTAATATTCACTGACCTCCTTCCTGTGTCAGGCTCGGGGACCTTAGGAGAAGGTATTCTAGGCATAATAAACACATTTTAAAATAGAAGCTCAGAGAGTCTAAATGCCTAAAAGCAGAGCCCAGATTGGACTTTCTAAACTTGTCCTGTGTCAAGGACCAGAATCTAATTGGCCTTAAATTGGGTAAGTTGAGCCTTATCCCTCCCTCTGTTCTCCAAGCCCTCCTGGCAAGTGGGTAAAGGCAAAATAGGAACAAAAAAGAACCTGGCCAGTGTAAGGAGCATCGTCAACCGCGCCCAGCTCGGGCTTATAGCCAGGAGCTGGTATTTTGGGGCAGGAGCTGGTATTTCAGGGCCGGAGACCAGGGCTCGGGACTGAAGCTTGGTCCCGTCAGTGATTGGTAACAAATTAATCCAACTGCTTATACCACAAGCTACAGTTTATCCGACCTGAGAATCTGAGTTAGAGAATCTGGTGGAGTCAGACTGCATCACTGGCCTCCTGTCAAGCACATGGGTCAAGGCCAAGGCCCAGCACACAGAGTATATGGATATACTCTGAGAGACCCTGGCCTGGACGGAGCCACAGGCTGGCGGCAGAGCCCCCCAGTGCTCACCTGCTGGCCCCGCGGCCCCGGGCTGGGGAGGTCTTCGTCGGGCTTGATCTTGGACCGCTTGTTGTGCATCAGGTCCCCCGTGCTACTCACCGCGGACTCGCTGGTCGGCTTGTTCTGCAGGTCACATTTGCGGGGACAGAGACAGTAATTAGGTTTCAATCAAGGAGTGGGACCAGAGCTAAAACATGCTGTAGACAAGCGAGCCGATGTGGCATTGGAACAAGGGCTTGGTAAGTCTCCAGTCCCACAAGAGCAGAGCCCAAGAAACATGTCTGAGGCCAGAAAACATATCTATGAGGGTTTCCCCTCGGGAGGAGAAACTCCCTGTGGCTTTCAGGAGCCCCTGGGGGACTCCTTTGGTGAAGCATCTGCTTTCAGCTCGGTTCATGATCCTGGAGTCCTGGGATCGAGCCCCACGTTGGGCTCCTTGCCCAGCGGGGAGCCTGCTTCTCCCTCTCCCTCTGCCTGCTGTTCCCCCTGCTTGTTCTTTCTCTCTCTCACTCTCTGTGTGTCAAATAAATACATAAAACCTTAAAAGTACATAAATTAATTCCCTGTGGCTTTTAAATCCTAGAAGACTGGAGCAGGGGGCTTGGGTTTTCATGAGCTCCAATCGTGCGCTTAGAAGAACAGAGTCGAGAGGTGGGCAGGAAACCAAAAGAAACAGCTGGCGACGTTCTTAGAGGATTCAGACTCTTTCAGTGGGATTATCGAGGAGGTAAGAGCAGAGGGCACGGCGTGGTTTGGTTCTTCCCGTGAAGTTATCACAGGATCTGAAGTGCCTGCAAGGAGTTGAGCGCGACCCCCTCATGCGGCGTATGGACCTGAGCAGGGTTACAGACCCTCATCCAGCAGCCCGCTGTCCCACAGGGGAAGAAACGACTCTGGGGCAGGAAGCCCGCACACACGTGCCGCACTCCTCAAAACCTGAAGCCTATGGCCCTGGGTTCGGAAGACCACGAGAACGCGGGGGCAGCCGCCTGTCCTGGGGTAGGCGGGGCCCTCCTCTGCAGTTGCCAGATGGACAGATCAGCTCCTCGGGCTGTGTCTCTCACCTGTGAGGACTCCGATGGGCCCGAGCTGACCTGGACGGGGTTCAGGACCGTGGGGATCCCAGGGATGGGCCTCTGCGTTGGAAACGTCGGGGCAGGGTGGATGAGAGGAGGGCTGTGTCCGAAGGCTGAGCCCAAGCTCTGCTGCCGGCTTAGGATCTGCTGGTGCATGTGGAGAGACACGGGAGCAGAAGGGTAGGTGAAGCTCAGGGCCGGGCTGTAGGAGGAGAAAAAGAGCAGACGGCGCTCATTCACACGGAACGCACACATCCCCGCAGCACGCCGCGTCTGCGTCTTTGCACCCGGAGCTGCCCTCCCAAATGACATCAGGTCTGCCTGTGCAGGCCAGAAGGCATAAACGGTTACTGATGGACATCGTGCACACTTCCAAGAGAGACACGCCTGCGGGAGCAGACACACGTGTGCCCGCGCCCAGACACACAGACCTGAAATGAGACTCGGCACGACGGGAACAAAAGGCTCAATAACAGCTATTTATTGCAATAACAAACTTTATATAAAAAAGAGAATGGGCGACTACATGCTTTATAGTACTTTTATTGGCTCTCAGCGCCGTATGTCCCTGTGCATGGAGCAATCCCTTTAATCTCGGCTCACGCTGCGTGCTTTCATATGTCTCCAGATCTTATTACAAGAGGAAGGAAAATCAATTGGTTAAATGTGTTTTGAACACCATGCTTGTCATATCACTCATTTGTTTGTAAAGATGGAAAGCTTGGTTCATCCAGAATGCCACCTAAAGAATTTCCATCAGTGCCGTCTGGTTACGGAAGCTGATGGATTAACCTCTCCTGGCTCCAATCGGTGATCAATGGGCTCCGGTGGAGGAATATTCCAATGGGAGAGCTCGGCTCCCTCTCCCAGCTAAATGGCATTAAATGTCTACGCAAGCCCATTATACATGCTAATGCCCGTCACTGCTCCATTATGCCTCAGCCCCGTCCAGCCTACAGCGAGTTGCGAGGAAGCCGCGCTATTACCTACAGATTTCTCGATGGGTACACGGTGCCAAATGGTTCTTTGTGCCGGCACGGTTTAGGAATCAAATCCTCTTAAAAGAATGAAGTGTTCTCGAGAAAATCTGCCCATGGCTTAAAAATGCCTGAAAAATTATAATTGCATTCACAAACGTTTCCTTCTTAAAAATAATCAGTGGGAAAAAAAATAAAAAATATGCATTTCCTCCGTCCTGCTGTGTAATACCCAGAAAGAATCGGAGTTTCTCGTAATGTCAAAGGTAGAATTCATGCAAATTTCCAATCTGGTGGGTTAATTACTGCTGTTGGTAAGCGCATTAACTGAGAATATAATAATTACAATACCAAAATTCAAACCATTTCAACAACTTTAAGTAATAATTCCGAAGATATACTCTGTTCATTAACGTGACTCCACATTTTGCCTATTTGACGACAATCCATGAAAGGCTGCTTCAATGGGATTACATTACTATTATTCCTACAGAGAACCTTGCATTACAATAGCTCGCCCATTTAACACTGAATATCATTAAGATTACCCTCAGAGAATTTCCCCCAGCTTGGAGAAACTCTCCTTTCATTCCGCATTGTCACTCCATAATAAAGGCAAGCAGGAGTGTGCTGAAAACAGTCATTGTTCATGGCAAGTTAGGGAGAAATCAGTAATAATATTCCGGTTCTGCAGTGCGATAGTTTCTGCCCCTGTTTCCGAAAGCAACCGTGAATGATTACGGCAAGACTCCGCTAAGGTAGCTGCGCGGATGACTGATAGGGCATTAATCAAAAGATGCATATCTGCCCCAGAATTTGTTCACAAGCTTTCTTCTAATAGCTGATTTCATGTTCACTGAGCTCTATGCCAGTTTGTCCAATTTATTTTTCAGTGTACAAGCCATTCATCAAAAAAAAAAAAAAAAAAAAAAAAAACCCACAATGATTTAACACCCCACCCCTTTCCTTTTGGTGAATGGATATGACTAAGTACAACTACCTTATTCTACTCATTAAAACAGGCAAAAGCCCAAAGACCCCACTGCACATATATGTGCAATGGGACAGTCTGCGGGAGCCTCCAGACACATTCGCGGAGTTTCCTGAGCCCACACGATGGGGCAGGCGTGGAAGGGGGCCCTTCTAATGCCGGAGGGCGCAACGTTTGGGGGCTCAAAAAGTCAGGACCTGATTAAGGCTCGGGGCCACTAGAGAAAACATTTCAGAAGGCAGAACATGCCCTCAGTTGTGTCTAGGAGCGATTTATAGATGTTCCTGGGCAGGCAGGATGGGTCCATTTTTACTTCTCAAAAGGTGTCAGAAGGAAGGAGAGCCATGCTGGGTTTCCTGCTGCAGACCCTGCTTCAGGTACACTCGGGCTGACCTCAGCAGACATCGGGAAAGGCAGGGACAGTTTTCGACACATTTTGGGAACATCCCATCCCCCTCTTGTGGCTGCTTTCTTGCAGGTAAAAAGCAGGTGCCAGGAATAAACCTTCTCCTAAATCCATGTCCAGTCTTAGCTTCCAGGGGACATGATGAGCACCGGTGGAGCCTCCCAGAGTGTAGGCAGCTGGCCACAGGAAGGCTCTCTCCGCCACGTGGGAAGGGCAAGTGGTGGCAGGCTCCTGCGGTGACAGGCGGGGTCCCCACCCGCAGAGCCCAAGCCGTGGGAAGCTGCCTGCTCCTCCCGGTCACAGAGCCTCTTTAGGAGTCGATGACACACGTCGCTCTCGGCTCTGTCGCAGCATCAGCAAGGACGTTCTCAGGAGAGCGTGGAGCAGGACAGAGGGTTTGGAAGGAAGAAGCCAAGGATGGGCAACGTCCCAGCACCGCGTGGAGATGTCAGTGACGACAGAAAGAAGGACTGGGGCATTCCCACAGGTGCGGAGTCGGGGATCAGCCACCACCCCTGCTCTCTGACAGTAAGTGGCCTTAGGAAGCTCCACCTCAGGGTCCCGCGCTGCGGGGGTGGGGGGGTGTTAGTTGGGGGGAAGCAGGAGAGTCCCCCCGGCCACAGGTACTGCCCGCATCCTTCCCGAGCTGAGCATGGTCACATCCTTTCTATCAGCTGGGTCTTGGCTAAGTGTCACCTCCTGGGACGGCGAGGCCTTCTGAGACCCTGCCCCATCCAAATGAGACCCCCTGCATGGCAGGTCCGATCACGTTCTCCTGTTGGATCCTTCTGTTCCCCAGCCAAACCCGCGCTCTCTGAGGTCACAGTCTGTCTCCCTCTAGACCCTGAGGTCCCAACGGTGTGAACCCGCTGATGCCTGGAACACTGCCCAGTGCACAGGAGGTCCTCGATATGGAGTTCTGAGCGACCGAGTCTCTTTTCAGCGTACTACAGTGTCCATTTACTGCTGCAACTGAGCGGCTGAAAAGGACACATGCTTCCTCTTTTGCTGGCTCGTGAAACCAGTATTGCATTTTTGTGGAGTCTCCCACAGCTTCTAGAGGCCGACCCGTCCTCTGCTGGTGGTTCCATATCGGATGACCTTCTTCCCTGGCTCTGACTCTGGTCCCCCACCTTCCTCTTATAAGGATGTTTTTAATTACATCAGGGCCACCCAAATAATCCCAGATAATCTCATCTCAAACTCCTTCATATAATCCCAGCTACAAAATTCCTTCTACCTTTTAAGGTAACAGGCCCTTCGTTTCTGGGGTTAAGACGTGAATGTCCTTGGGGCTGATCACACACAGAAGAGTCAATTCAAAGAAAAACATGTCTTCCTCTGAAAACTACAATTTGACAATGTGTCTGTAAAACAGTCTAAACAAAGCCAGATTCATGTCTTTCTAGACAACTTTAGCGGCTGAACAGTCTTTGCCGATTACAGAGGTCAGAATTAAAAAGAAAAAATAAATCCTAACCTTTAGAAATGCTGAAAAGAATGATTCCATAATTTCCTAGAAATTATTGATATTGTTGAGGATTTTTATAAATCTCCTGTGTCCTCTAAAGGAGGACATGGTCTAATTTAAAACTCGGTCTACCTGAGCTTTATTACCTCAAACTTTTTAATATTTCTGCTCACCCTATTCTTTCCTGTGGATCCCAAGAAGAAAGCTTAATTTTATCATCTGATTTCTGCATTCTCTTCACTCAATATTTAACATAGTAAATATAATTTTTTTAAAAAACCATTTTTTTTAAGTTTTCACTTCTTTTCCAAATGATTACAGGAAAGATGGGGTAACTTAAAACACATAAACATTTATGAACATGTGACTTAATATGATTTATCTATATGTAGTCGATGAGACGAGGAGAAACCGTGTCAGGTGGCCCCCACCTTCCCAAGCGAGGCATTAACTAGGCCACAGTTCTCCCCAGGCAACAGGCTGAAAGGAAGTCTTACAACGGTGAGGAAAAAGAAGAGCTCAAGTCACCACATTGGAGGTTTCTCGCAGGGAAATCACCATGGGACGTGCCCTCTAAGTGTCCCACCCCAGACACAGTTTGCAGCGGTCTTCAGAGAACCTTCTCGAAATTAGTGATCCTTGCAAAACACTCCAAGAAGCACTCTTCTAGGACAACAGTTATCAAGCCAGAAGAAATTAATTTCAATATTAATTTGGCCTTTACTTTTCTCAAGAGCAGAAAAGGAGAAAGGTGTGGGTTTTAGGTCCTTGACTCTAGCGTGGAGAACATCCTCGCCCACCCAATATAATTTCTACCCATTAGAACAGATTCACAGTTCTAGATTTTTTGCTTTATAAAATACCTTAAAGGAGCATTCCTCTGTGTTTTTGGTGACTCGGGGATAGAGTTCTGAGCACATTGACATAAAATTACTCACAGTCAGTTCCCCCTTTATGTTCGGCTCTGACCTAACAGTGATCAATAAAGTATTGTCTGAGTGGGAACAAGTTCATCTATTTTCCAAAGATTTAAATGAAAACTCCCTGGATGCCTGGGCGGCTCAGTGGGTTAAGCCTCTGCCTTCGGCTCAGGTCATGATCCCAGGGTCCAGGGATCGAGCCCCACATTGGGCTCTCTGCTCAGCGGGGAGCCTGCTTTCCTTCCTCTCTCTCTGCCTGCCTCTCTGCCTACTTGTGATCTCTGTCTGTCATATAAATAAATAAAATCTTAAAAAAAATAAAATGAAAACTCCCAAAGTCTGAAACTTTGAAAAAGTTTTGATATATTTATCCTCTATCAAAAATCAGAGGTATAGTTTTGTCGATACTCTTTTTGCAAAGTATGACCAAGTTTTGCAAATGGGGTCTTGTCTCTTCAAGGGCAGTAAACAGCATAGTCACACCTCACCTATCAGGAAGTCTCCTATCTGGGAATCTCAGCAACTACCCCCAATCCAGGTAACATTTGGAGTGCAATTAGAAAGAAAATGTTAAGCGAAATAAACATCATAAAATGCACACACAAAATCATGCATCAATTCAGTAAGTTTTAACCAAGTACTTTTTATGTGTCCCATTTATAGTCCCAGAGCATAAAATATTCTTTGCAACTAGACAGTTAGATATTATTATAATCAAGACACGGAACTTTGATGTTCATAATCATTTTTCACTTTCACCACATTGTGTTCTCACACCAAGGAAGTAACGTGGGCCAACGTTTGTACAGAAACCTTGTGATCAATCCATGTGTTTGTATTTAATTTCTAGAATGACCTGTAAGTGGGGACACTGAAAGTCCATACTGCAGAAAATCACTCCCTGAACATTCACCACCCGCTGCTGGTGTGAAGAGTGACAGACACACGGTGCCTCCGCCTTCTTAGGAAATGTCCTGTTTTAAATATAAGGTCAAAGCTAACTACCTACAAACACGTGTTTTTCAATTGCTCAAGGTGCTGTATTTTGCTCAGATGTGAATTTTGGAAACATCCTTTAAAAGGAATGTGTGTTGGGGCCCTTGGGTGGCTCAGTCATTAAGTGTCTGCCTTTGGCTCCGGTCATGATCCCAGCGCCCTGGGATCGAGCCCATGTTGGGCTCCCTGCTCAGTGAGGAGCCTGCTTCCCCCTCTCCCTTTGCCTGCCTCTCTGCCTATGTGGGATCTCTCTTTGAAGCAGCCCACTGGGCCTCCCTGAGCATCAGTCCCTTGGACCTGAAAACAATTCAGCCTTGCTGGGAGCTTAGAAGGCTTCCTGCTGAGGGCTGTGCCTAACCGGGCCCCTGCCTGCCTTTCCTGTTTACTGCCCTGTGGCCCCTGGATTCCTGACACTCCCTCAACACCCAAGCTCTTCCATGGTTTCATCTGGTCCACTCATTCATTCATACCTGATTGGAGCCTTTTCCCCTTCAGGAGTTCAGTGAGGGTAGGGGTCCTGCCTCTCATCCATACCGGTAGCCCCCACGCCCAGCGCGGTGACTAACACAGAGTTGAACACGCAGCTGAATATGGGAGGGGATGGATGAGTAACTGATTAAATGAAATGCTCTCTAAAACCAATGACCACATATGATAGGCGATAAAAACTACCTTTCTCAGTATTAATCCCTTTGGCTGCTGCTGGGGGAAAAGACGTTTGTCACCGCTTTCAGAAGATGTCATCAGGGTTTCGGGACGCTGGTCATCGGGCACTGTGTTCACCTACACTCTGTTCTTTGCCGTGTCCCACCCAGCCTATAAAGGGTATCAACAGACCCAGAGTCAAGCTGCTCTGGAGACCGAGCTGGTTCCTCTCCTGCCTTGGGAAGTGGCAACAGACATCTACTTCCTCCAGGGCCCTGGGGCTGGGGCCATGGCCACTACAGGACACAGAACACAGGACACAGCCCGCTGTCCCAACACCAGTCATAGTCTGTTGTGGTGCTGGCTGCAGACGCTTGTCCCACTGTGGCACCCAACTCCCACTTTCATTAAGATGCCTGTCCTGGCTACACCAGACCAGAGACCACTGAGGACACAAGCTCATCTTCGTTTTAGCCATAAACTCAAAGCAAGAACACTGTAACTGGTGGGTTGGAAACAAGTGGGTTACTCATTTCTTCATTCCGTTTACCTTTGGCAGGAGACTACAGGAAGAGGAAGGTCACCCCAAGCCCTCTTTGTGACAGTGGTGTAATTTCTAGGGGAAGGTATTAGCAGAGGCAAAGGTATTTCTACTATATTGCCATTATATTTACAAAACCTATGTGGAGTGGAGGTTACAGGTTGTTATTTGATAAACGTGAGTCATCTAGGCTTAGATGGGAGTCTTCAGGGGGATGGACAAGTTAAAACTGCTTGAGACAGCCGAATTGTTCACAACAACCTTTCCAAGTGCATGGGGTTTTCAGAATGGTCATTTCAGTTATGATATAAAAGGGTAGGATTTGTGATGTAGACGTGGACCACATGGTTGAAAAGTGATACATAAATGAGTGCGGTAAGGGGCTTTTGTGAATAAATATTTGCTTTCTACAGTATTTTTAGAGCAGTCTGAATTATTAGCTAAATACATAAACGTAAGAACCATACCCAAGGATAGACATTTGCTTTTTAGCTCCTCATTTTGTATCCATCTCTCCATCTCTCTATAGCTCTCAACCCATGGACATGTAATCTACTCTTCATACAATCTGAAAATCAGAATTATTCATCTGACACGTAGAAAGTTCCTTTAATAAAACGGCTGATGAGAATTCTGATTACTCATTTAAGAGCTCTTTCAGGGTCGCCGGGGTGGCTCAGTCAGTTAAGCGTCTGACTCTGGATTTGGGCAGGAGAGGAATCAGCTCAGGGTCGTGAGATCAAGCCCCACATTGGGCTCTGCACGGAGTGCAAGGTCTCTCTCTTTCCCTCTCTCTCTGCCCCTGCCCCCCTAAAAAAAGCGCTCCTTCATTTCTTCACTCAAGAAACAACCTTTGAGTGGTGTCAAGGTGAGAAGGCACAGGTGTTTTGGGGGGGTGGCGGTATGCGGCCATGAACAAGGCCCGCGGCCCTCTGGTAGTCGCACTCTAGCAGAGGGGAAACAAACAGCAGACTCTTAGATGAGACAGTCAACGCAGACATTTCAAACAGAGGCAAATGCGATTACCAGCCTCTTGGAGGGTAACATCTGAACTAGAATGCCGTGCGAAGGAGATCACCACTACGGCATTTTTTCGGAAGACGGAATGCTTGACTTCAAACGGAACACCATTTTGGCAACTCAACCAACAGCGTTACACTGCACGCCTCTACCAGCTGTAAGTCAGGCCCCAGAAAATGGCACCAAAGTCAAACACATCTGGGGTCCATTGCAAAGCAGGGCACTGGAAGATTGGCAAGCGACCTTCTCCAACTTCCTCTTGCAAAGACCGACCATGTGGCTGAGTAAAACAAGGGCAACAGAACGTTCTTCCAAATCTCTGTGACACAAAAACAAGGAGTGTGCCTCTTGCCCCAACCCTCTGGCTGGTCCACAGCCCGGACTGCACGCACCCTCACTCCTGTCCACACTCACTCCTGTCCACACTCACTCCTGTGCCTTTCCCTCCCGAGAAAGTTAGCTACCCTTTGTGCCTTTGCTCACACTTCCACCCTTTCCCTGCCTCCCACTGGTCCTACCACTTTGACTGATGATTCCTTAAGTCGGTTTTTAGTTCACAAATCTGAACTAAGAACAGGGCAAGCAAAGCACTACAGGACAGGCAAATGTTGCCGATGATAATTATTCTAGTCATCGTGTTATACACCAAGCAGATGTCATTCTGGGCTATCTGCATTACTTATGTGCATTCAAAGTTACCTCCAGTCCTAACACACACCAGGTGAATATTGGAGAGTGAGAGGTCAGGCTGCCAGAGAGAAGAGAGAATGGAAAGGACCCAAAGGAAGAACAGGAGTGCACAGTGGCTGGGCCCACGACTAGTGTTGGAGGCAAACCTCTTCTTCCAGCTCTAATGAGAATGGCAGGGTCTGTGGGAGTTCCTTGGAGGCAGGGGAAAATGATCAACCCCAGTCAGGATCCAGTACTAGGTCACCTGGGCGGAGGTGAGCAGATCAAGAAGGCCAGAGAAGATGAAACACACCAGTAACAAAACCCTCACCTACTCAAAGCAAGGCTGATTCCTTTTAAGGCAAGGAATCACCCACGGTTTGCAAAACTCCAGTTCAAAAAGATCGCTAGGAACTGAACTCCTAATTTATGGGAGGAAAAACTTAGGGGAAGGGATAACCAAAGTCGACAAGCAGGGTTCCCTAATTAATGAACTAGGACATGATCTAATTCGATGCTTGAAACAACCATTTGGTAACTAGCACAGCACGAAACAGTAAGTGATTAGCTGATAAAAGCAGCCTAAACACACCTAAAATTCCTCACTTGGCTTACTTTTGTTCCCCACTTATTGACATCAGCCCACGTTTGATCATTAGCAGCAAAAAATATTTTATGGTAAGCGTGTTCACAGAAGCCTGCGTTTGTACCTTCCCATGCAAGAGCAGACAGAAAGCATTTCACCAAAGGAAGTGTCAAAATGTTCTCGTCCCCCCGCGAGGGAGGATGACAAAACAGAGGGCTTTCAAATTAAGCTAAAAATGCTTAATAGGAAAACAAGAAAATCTTGGTTTGCCGCATTTCCTCTGACAGACGTGCCTTCCTATGTCATCCTGTTTCTTTTCTCTTAGATTCGAAATCCTGCTGACGCCTTTTCTTTCTTCCTCAAACGCACCCCTTTCCCCCGTCGTTAACAAATGTGAATTACACCACATCTGACTGTCTGTCTTCTGCTCTGTCCCTCTTCCCATGCGCCGCACGACCAGGTATGAATGGGTTTTCTCTCCACAGAACTATAATGAGTAAGAGGGGTTTGGATGAAGGCTCGCCAGCCTCACTGCACAGTGGCCTCCATCATAAGGAAATAGCTACGAATGTGCATACGGGCTACTAATTCAAGTCTGGGGGGAAAAAAAAAAAAAAAAAAAACCTTTGGTCCAGTCCTTGGCTCTGGAATTCACGGCAGAGGCATCTGACTGGCGTCCTGGGTCAGGCCCGGGGTCGTGCTATCATTGTCACCCTCAGAGGGCATCAGTCCCGCAAAGGCGGGCCCCTCGGGCGCTGCCCCTTTAATAAAAAGAACCACATCGCGGATTCTGGAAAATACAAACCTGATGGCGCTCGCGGACAAGTGACCATAGGAGCCGCTTGCCGACGAGCTGCTGCGGGAATTATTGAGAATCGTGACCAAGGAGTTGGGAGACGTCCTTATCATAGTCTGAAGGTCAAAGCTGTGATCGGAGAGTGGTGATATGGACAGGGTACGTTTCCGGCTCGGCCTGGCTGACAGCCTGGGGCTGGGGAATCTCGTGCCTGTTGCAGAAACAGAACAGAACCCAGTTACCTGCGGTTGGAACTCCACACCTGTGAGTCACTGCTCCGGGCCTGGCTGGAAGAAGGGACGGCTAAGAAGCCAGCAACCTGCGGTGACAAGCGCCTCTCTGCCCACTTGTGGTCTCCTGGCTACAACTGAGGAAATTAGGGAGAAATATTTATCTTCCAGGGCTTACCTCAGGGGAGCTCTGTTTATTAATGTGCAGGCAAAATGATAAATTGCTAAACAAAAGGGAAAGACTTTTATGTGTTATCCCTCTCATTTCTAGTGATTTATGAATCTGACGGCTGCTTAGATATTCCCATCATTAATTCACCACAAGCGACAAAGACAGTGGTCCCCACAGTTTACACAACATCCCCCCCATCCCAACACACACCATTTTAGGGCAATGAGCCAAAGGAGGAAATGAATTAAAGCACCCGGAGATGAGAAATTCAGCTTAGTGATGCTCTCATCTCCCCATGATTTTGGTAGCTATCTGATCCACGTATACATAAAGCTTTACTAAAACACTGATAAATGCATTATCTGAAATTGACGGTTCTCAATCGGGGGCAATTATGCCTCCAGGGAACATGGGACAACATCTGGAGATCATTCAGTTATCACAGTTCAGGGGGTGAAACTCCCATCGAGTATGTAGAGGCCAGGCGTGCTGCTGAACGCCCAGCAATGTCTAGGACAGCCCCCCATGATGAAGAATTCTCTCCCCCCAGGAGAGCAGAGACTGAGGAACTCTGCCTAAGTTCTCTACGCTCTAGAAGAATAAGTTCCAATAAGCAATTCCAATCTCAGGATGTGGTTCGTTTGGAGGTGTTCCAAGGTCAGGGGCGGGGGAGGACCATGTAAGCATTATCATGAGATTTGATGAATCTATTTTAATTCTCTGGACCTTGCTTCTCCAGTCATAATTATAGGGAATAAAGCATTTATTATTAGAAATCTCAGTCTTTATTAAGATTCCTCCACAGAAGTTCTAATCGGGAGGTTAGTAACTTACACTTCAACGCATGCCAACTTGGTACAATGTTTTTTACCTAAAGAGTTGAAAGTGAAATGCCTCTTTGCCTTCAGTTTGGTAGATCCTAGAGATGTGAATTTCAGGGACCAACTATGCATACGGCCCAGAGGCCCACACTCCTGCCTCTTTTAAGGTCACATGTCCATCATCAAGTCATCAAACTACAGCTGAATGAAAGAATGAGAACATAATCCTACTCCATAAGGAGCAAATGAAACATAATTCGTTTTGAATAATAATGGAGGGTTTTTATTTGATAGTACGGGTCTACTTGCCTAAGGGGGCACTACAGTTTTGTGGTACACGGAGCGCCGAAGTAGAAGGTAAGCCTTCTTTATAGGAAACAGACTAGGCACTTGGTCTCTGGCAACTTCCATGGGAATACTTTCTTCATCATAGACCTTGACACAAGATAACAATCCAACATGCTTCAAGATCATGAAATGAAATCGATGGGCATGAGAGAGTCTACAGGTAGTATCACAGAATAAATAGATATACTTTATCTAAAATAATCGCAAACTGGAGCTTAGGAAATAAATCTCAAAAATGGAGCTTTGGAAATTAGTACCATGTATAAAACTGGAAAACCGATTTGAAAGATGAATACGGTGCCTCCTCAAATTTTTCTTTCAGACACATTCAAAATTGAGTTTCTTCATTTAGAGTAATTTCATTATGAGCCTGATTTAGGCCATGCTAGTACCAATATAGCTATCCCAGCTAGATACACATCTTTTAGTGTTTAAACCAGCATCTTACTTTTATTATACATCAGCCTCACACAGAAATGTTCCACATTTACTCACTATGAGAGGCTAATTTCATCATAGTTTTTTTTCTTTTTCTTTTTTTAAGATTTTATTTATTTATTTGAGAGCGAGAGAGCACAGGCCGGCAGAGGAGCAGAGGGAGAGGGAGAAGCAGGCTCCCCACCAAGCAGGGAGCCCAATGCGGGCTCGATCCCCGGAACCTGGGATCATGACCTGAGCTGAAGGCAGACGCTTAACCCACTAAGCCACTCAGGTGCCCTTTTAATGAAGAAATTCATTCCACTTCCAAATGACTCCAAGGACTCCAGACTTCCTATCTACTTCCATATAACCCTCAGCGATAACCCTTCTCGATGGGTCTCAGGGATCCGTGGCAGAGTTAAGAAAAACAGGACACACTAGGCAGAGAGATGATCCCTGGAACACCTCTAATTTCTTAAATTATTAATAGATAAGGTGGCCATCTGATGTTAAGAAGCAATAAAGGTCTTAGGGCCCTCTTACATCGTCCAAAGCCAGAGCCCAGAGGCCTCCCTTCATCCCTTCCAAGGAAGCCTTCCTGTTGCCCACGGCCTGGTTGGTCCGGATCCTCTCTGCTTTTCCCTCCAGGATGGGCTCTTACATCAGTCAGTTTCCACTGATACAAATAATGAGGTTTTCGGGAGCCCTCAATTCTAGAATGTTCCTCATTGGAATTACTTGCTTTCCTTTTAGGGTAATTAATCCCGAAAGACAGAATTAGATCCATAAAGCAGACTTACTTATTCTAACATGCAACATTTAAAGACGCTGCCCTTAGGTGGCAGAAACCCATATATACCCATTGTTGGAACATTAAAAGGCAAGTGCTCATCCAACACTAGTTTCTGCCAACCGAGGACTCTGGAAGATCCGTTAACAATGGATGAGAGTGACCAGCTAGCTTCCAGGTGGGCTTTGCCCCGCAGGGCCACACCCAAGGTAGTAGTGATCGATAAGAGTTTCTGCTTCTCTGTTGGAAAAGGCACCTATGATTTAAATTCTTTGCACACTCCTTATGTTATGTTTAACTAAATGCTATTTCATTTTTTTTTTTTTTAGAAGGAAGGTAGTATTTTAAGCACTTCCCAACCCTTTAATATGCTCTTCCTAACCCCCTAATAACCAAGGAAACAGAGAAAGTCAGCGTTTTGGAATGGTGATTTGGGATCCCCTGTTGAGGGGAACAGCTAAAACACAAGGAGAACATTTGGAAGACCGCTGCAAAGAAGTCACCCAGCTCCTCACTGATCCTACGGTTTCCTTCTGACACATAAGACCAGCATTCTTATTGTTCCAGCACAGATATCTCCAATCTGGCTTTCTGTTAATTGTTTTGTTTCTCTGTTCTAATAAGAAAATTCTGACAAAGAGAAAGGAGGTTTCTTTTTATGTGATGAATGATAGGACATCTAAATTCCTACTTAATGACAATCAATTTACCATATACTCGGGCAAATTAAAATTCCTTAATTAGTTTTTACAAAGTAAAAGGGTAGCTTCATCCTTTATTTAGATAAAAACCTCCTTTGCCTGACTGAACACATTCCCATCAAATGTAGAAGGTAATGCGGGCCGACCTTCCAAGGATGCTCCCTTATTTTCATTCTTTATTTGCAGAGTTTTAAATAACGAATTTGCATAATAAACCTGAACTTCGTTTCCAGCAATCCCTAATTGAAATGTGGTTCTGATGACTCTGAATTCGAAGCTCTTGACTCTAAAAAGCCAAACAACAAAACCCCCGCAGAAGATGGAACACGTTTCTCTTGCTTTGTGGTAATGAACTTCCCGCTGGAAACCGTCGCCAGCTGGGACCCCGTGTAACTCAGCGAGTTCCTTCACGGCCGTAAGAAGACGGAGGCTGTAGCTCTCACTCTAAACCAGTCCCCCTCTCTCCACTCCCAACCTGAAGGCTGTGCCCAGGACACACCTTTGTCCCAGAAGAATCCAAACAGATTGTAGATGAAAAAGTACGGCCACCAGGAGAAACAAACAAACATCCCCCAGCATACGCCTTTCTCAAAGCCACAGGCCCTTTGTCATAGTCAAAGGGAAGAGGCTTTCACTGAGGGATCCCTCAGACAACGCTTTGCATTCGCTTCCTGGCACCTGGCAAATGGAACTGAAAGAATGTGAATAAATAAGAACTCTTGGATGTTCTGAACCGTGAATCTCGTAGGCTCATTTGTCTATGTCGAGATAAGTGACCCTAAGGCACCACCATAAGCCTTCAGGGATCCCAAAATGAGTTATATAAAAAGCATCAAAGGATGCCATTGTCTTCTACCGTTATGCACTAAAAACAGCTCTTTCTGACTTGGAAATGCTTTTTATTTTTCCTAGACAAAAGGTCTTAGTGAAATATGATTTTTAATGTAAAGAAAATATATGAGGCAAAGTAAATCCATGGGGAAAAAATGTACAAGCCACATCTAGGTTTTTTTAAGGCTCCTGGGTGGCTCAGTGGGTTAGACGTCCAACTCTTGTTTCAGCTGAGGAGGTGATCTCAGGGTCTTGGGATCAAGCCCGCCCACCCCCAGTTGTGCCTAGCAGGGAGTCTGCTTGAGGTTCTCTCTCTCTCCTCTGCCCCCACTCACATGCGCTGTCTTTCTCTAAAATAAATAGCTAAATCTTTGAAAAAAAAAATCAATTTTTAAAGCATGAAATCGAGAAAACCAAAGAGGGCCTGGGTGAAGTATGTCCACGTCATGAAACACATTCCCGTATTTTTGTTCTCAGGACAATCAGGGCAGGACAGTTCTTTCGAGACCTGCCAAATCACAATCTCCTGCCTCTTCCAGTCTGTGAGTAGCTGGGAGCCCTCCACGGGAGCCCCAGGACGGCCCGATGAGTAGAAGCAGCTCCTCAGAAAACCAAAGAAAGCTGAGCACCAAATGGTCTTCCAGCTTCTCTGGTTTCAAAGGTCAGAGAATCACCTAATGGTCACGTCTCCCTCCACAGTTCAGCATCCCCCCCAACCCCCTGCCCCGCCACCGACTACTTACTGTCCATGGCGTGAACGTACTCCATGTGGATGGCCCCGGCGCCGGCACCCGCCGCAGAGGGGATGATGTCCGCGTAGGGGCTGCGCTGGCCAGCGAGCAGGGCCATCTGGTGATAGTACTCCGCGGGGCTGACCCCGGCGTGGGGGGCTGGAAGAGCACACAAGCAAAGCGGTGTGACTAGTCAGAACAGGTCAGCAAGACACATTTCTGAAGACATCCCGAAGCCCGCGGGCCGCGCAGCCCATGTTGGGAATTCCTTTTATGGCTCGTGCTAGTAAAACATCGGTAACTCAGACCGTGTTTCCCATGGAAGCCTACCAGACAGCTCTTATTTGAAAAGTAAAACTGAAGAAAAGGAAGAGAAAAAATCAAATGTATTATAAAATATTTGAGGCCCGTTTAAAGAAAGAGCCAAGAGTTCCAAATGATTAAAATGTATGTATGTTCTCCTTCCCATGTGTGCCCCCCTCCCCAAACGAAATCACTTCGTAGATGCAATCACTGTATGTCCACATTTCTTCCAGGGGTAGCCGACAACTGAGGCCACAGTGATGTCTTTCCAGACATACTTAGAATACTTCCCCCAGCTCCTGGCTGGAGAGCCCGAGTCAGCTCTCACTACCTGGAGTGCCCAAGGGCTCACAAGGGGAAGAGACAGCATAGTTTTAATAACGCATGTCAGGGTGATAAGCTGCAATTTTGTGCCCCATAATTTTAAAGCTCTTCCCCCCCCCCATTTCTCATTACAAAATCAAAAGGAAATATACCTATCAATCTGGAGCAATTTACTGGCAAGAGTCAGCTCTGTAAGAGTGGGGATAATAATGTGTTTCTACTGCCAAGTTATGTGCAAAAGCAGCGAGATACTGGAGACGTTTTGAGGGTGGTCTCCAGATTCTCCAAGATCTGGAGGTAAATCCCAGCTCCTCCTCTTACAGCTCCAAAGGGCTGTGGGTAGCAATGAATGCAGCAGTGTTCAGCACGTAGCATTCCATCGGTAAAAGTCAGTTTTACAATTATTATGTAGAAACATGGGTGTTCCAGCAATAGGGCTGCGTATGTTCTCTGTGTCCACACTTTTATACACGATAAAAATATCTAGGCACAGATATACACGCACCTCTTAGCCTACATGTGCGAGACATCTGTGACTTGATTTTATTTGATTATTAATTAGACTTTTGAAAGGGAAGAAAAGGAAGACAGAACAAACCAAAGAACGTTTTATTCATACTCGTCATCAAATACTATGGAAAACAGATGACAAGATGCTTTAAACTCCAGGTTCCACATTCCACTGGCCCAACGAAATTTTTGCAAGCCAGGCTTAACTCCAAGTGTGCCGTGAGCTGGCCTCCCTTACCCCTCTCTCCCTCTCTTCTCCCGTGCTGTCATTTCTCTGAACTCCAAAGTTCTCCATGGGGATGACTCTCTATTACTCCCCATTGGGACACCAAATCCAATACTTGAGTCTGACTCTCTTACTGTTTCCTTTTTGTAATGTGAAGCTCGTCCAAATGGCACAATGAAAAAAGAGATGAGCGGAACAGCCATTGGGGCATCGCAGCTGCTACTCAAAGTAGAACTTAGTAGCGATTTACTGAGAAATCTCCCAGGGCTTCCCACCTCTCCCCGCCATGCCCAGCCAGCCCCAAGAGGGGCCCGCAGGGAGAAGGTGGACGGCTCAGGGTCACACCACACAGTTATCCAGACGGCGCAGTGGGGGTTCCGTGTGCTGCTGTAGAGAACTCATAATCTCTCTTTCTAATTAATATGGCTTATACAGTTCTGGACCTTAACTCAGATTCCAGCAACTGTGGGCAAGTGAGTCTGTGCATGTGTGCGTGAGATGGGAAATGCTCTTCCTGAATCAAAGGAGTGTTTTATAATTTGACAGTTATGGGATACATGGCTCTAATTAGTCTTGTGAAAAGTAATTAATTGGGAAGCTAACAGAACCAACAGGAATTTGACCCTTGAGAGCTTAAAACGAGCATCAAGTATAATAAAATTAAAGTCAAAGTTTTGTTTCTTTTCCCATCACATCCCTCTCTTCCAGGTTTCACTGGGTAGGGTCAAGGTTGGAGGGCATGAGCAGATCTAGACCATCACGTTCTCGAAGACTTGCTACTCAGCGCGCGGGCCATGGACTACAGCCCTGGCACCACCTGGGAGCTTTCCAGCATGCAGAAATCCCCCATTCCCCCCCAGACCCACCCCACACGGAAGGACGTTTTCTCATCATTCCCGGGTGGTCCACACACACAGTGGGACCTGAGAAGCGCCAGTCTAACAGACACATCTGTATGAACACACCTCTCAGATGTGCAGAAGAGAAAAGCGTTCACTGGGAGGCGAGCAGAGTGGCCCGTTGCGCCTGCACACTGTGAAAACCGCAGCCGGGCCAAGAGGACACAACAGGGGATAGGAGCAAGATGTCCGGAGTCCGTGAGTTCGGGCCTTGAGTTCCATCCCTGCCACCCAGTAACCAGTGGGCCACATTACAAGTTACCCGGCCTGTCGCCTCACTGCTCTCCTCACCCTGTAATGGAGACAATGACCCCCTCCCCCCATGGAGGTGTCCGTAACCTTGACCTGAATCGTGCCCTTGAAGGGTTGATGAATGGGTTGGCTGGGGACAGACTCACCATCTGTGGGGCTGAGACCCCGGGCTGCCGAGATCATGGAGAGAGACGGGCTGTGAAGGGACCGGATGTAGTCCATGTAGGGGTTGATGTAGGGGTGTGGAGGGCTGAAGGGGGGCTCCGAGGCTGCAGCGGGGTTCCGATGGGGGGAGATCCTGATGAAGGGCAGGTCTGAGTACGTTGGGCTACTAGATAAGGCAGAAGGCCTGGGTGAAAAAGAAAAGCAGACACAGGAGGTACAGGTGAGACCAATATCTCCACAGGCAGAGGCTGTCTGTGAAGGCAAATGAGAATGATTTTACGTGAACTCAAGGTGTCCTGGGGAAAAGACATCAGGCATATATGTTTCTAGTACAATGACCTTAAAGGTAGAATCGTACTACACAATTACCTGGGTGAAGAAAACGAACCTCTGTGAAATTTCATGGCACCCTGAGTACAGAAAAAGAAAAGCTGGCCTTTGGCCTTCCTGATGACAGGAAATTCTAAACCACAGGCATCTGAGTTTTAAGTAGTTCTGCAATGACGTGTTCCGTTTGACCCAAACATTACTTTCACCACTGAAAAGTTACCTCTTAACATCACAGTGTTGTGAGGAAGAAAGGACGGAAGGAAGGAAAGAAGGGAGGAAGGACGGATGGGAGGAAGCAAGGATAAGAAAAAAAAATTAAAGAGAAAGGAAGGAAAGGAGAAAAGAAAGGAAAGGAAAGGAAAGAAAGAATTACACACAGCAGAGTTGCCCATAAAGGAAGGAGGCAAACTGCAAAGGTCTTTAAGAAATGTGCAGTCGGGGGCACCTGGGTGGCTCAGTGGGTTAAAGCCTCTGCCTTCAGCTCAGGTCATGATCCCAGGGTCCTGGGATCGAGCCTCGAATCAGGCTCTCTGCTCGGTGGGGAGACTGCTTCCTCCTCTATCTCTGCCTGCCTCTCTGCCTACTTGTGATAACTGTCAAATAAATAAATAAAGTCTTAAAAAAAAAAAAGAAATGTGCAATCGGCACTATATTATATATTCGTGCTCAAACCTTTAGGGCAATGGTCTTGCAGTTGGGGGTAAAACCAGCTTCACAGATCCGGGGTTCACCATTCAAAAGACAACTCCTCCTATCTGGGAGCCAGCCCTGATGGTGCCCTTCCCCTGCCCCTCATCTTTCAAGTGGCACCTGGCGAGCCACGTCCAGGAATTCAGTACTCCTGGGGCTACGAAGCTGGAAGAGAACAGGGTTTGATGGAGCTCGAGCCTTGGTTCTGGCAAGCTGATGAAGATAAATTCGCAACACACCGTGCTGCCGCCCTAGCCTGAATGGCTCCAGGGGATTCCTTCCCCGGGGACCACCAGTTCCAGAACGCCCCCACCCCCAGCCCCCACTGCCTTGCTCTTCTCTAATAGAAAATGTGTTGTGCGAGTAATCCAGTGAACTGTCCTCATTCACGGAGGGGATGGCCATGGGAACGGGAGGCCGTGATAGAGACAGATCCACAGAGCACGGCAAATTCCTCTTACACCACTGGCTTTCAGTGCAAAATGAAAGGGAGGGGAGATGCATTTTCTCATCACGCCTCCTGAAGCAAAGGAGCCCCCGACTGGGGGCTGGCCCCCATCACCCTGTCAGAACACAATCCAGGGAGCAACCAGCCCCACCAAGTGCACAGCACAGGCACGGGGATAAATGAAACCGCAGATCAGATAATGCATTTTCTCTCAGTAGAAAATAAGAGGTTGAAATATGGTGGGGGCAGGGGTGCTCAAGTGCTGTTTCTTACTCTTTTTCACTTTGAACTAAAAAGAAAAAAATAAAATAAAAAAGCGAGGCAGGGCGCCCGGGTGTCTCAGTCCTTAAGTGTCTGCCTCCGGCTCAGGTCATGGTCCCAGGGTCCTGGGATCGAGCCCAGCTCCCGGCTGGGCAGGAAGCTGCTTCTCCATCTCCCACTCCCCCTGCTTGTGTTCCCTCTCTCGGTGTGTGTCTCTCTCTGTCAAATGAATAAATAAAATCTTAAAAAAAAAAAAAAAAGAAAAGAAAAAGAGGCTTTTTATTTGTTATTCGGATGCTGCCTTTGGTGAAGTAAAATAAAAACCCAGAGTTTTCTAAATTTCCATGCGAGCAGAGTGAGCACTCACCACCTGGAAACAGCTTTCTTTTTTCAAAACAACTTGAGACTTTCCATACCCACTCAGAAATTAGTAAATGACTTATGTCTAAATAGAAATCGGCACAGCCCACTAGCCTATCCGATTTTAGTTCTTTATGGCCAGTCGGCTCTGTGTTGTGGTTCAATGCCAAGTTCCACTTACACATGTTGCTCCTTCAGAGCACAGGGATGCTCCGGTTCTTTGAATCGCTTTCGACTGGAAAGGAAAATCAATCTTTCCAGTCCGATTCAAAAGTAACTACGACAAAACATAAACTTATTTGCGGACTTATGATGAGAGACCAGCATGGCAGAAAGGTGCAAAAGCGACATTTCCAGAAATCTGTGGGATGCTAGCTCCCAGCCAGGCTCGTCTCATGATCCACAATAGGACGACTCAACATCGGTGAGGGCAGTGGCACATCTTACTGGTAACCTGTAATTTTTCTGAAATCCCAGAATTGACAGCGGTAGTAAGAATATTCCTAGAGGCCTAGATTCTGTGTTGAAGAAAAAAACAAGCATCCTGAACAACATAAAAATTACCAAGATGGAGCTGGCTGTCACCAATCACGAAGAAACAAGGAAGCCAGCAGACAGGAGAAGCTTTCCTTCTGCCAAAGTTCCCAGGACGTCTGACGGCCCAGTCCCGCAAGAGGACTGAAGGTACCTGTCTGGGAACAGCCGTGAGTGAGCAGTTGGACCTGGTCACAGCATCCCCGCAGGACGCCAGGGCCCCGTTCTCCCTTCCAGTCCAGGAAGAAGTAACAGCAGAGAAGCTAGGCCTGGTTCCTCATGGAGGTGAAGTCAGGAACCTTCCCCCACTGTGGTGAACGTCACATTCAAGCACACGCCTCCCAGAGAGAGGACACTAGGGAGCTATGGGGTCCCCTGGTCCCAAACAATGGGGTAGGAGATCCCTTCAGACAGAAATGCCGACAAGAGAGCTGTAAATTAATTAATTACCCTAAATTAACAAACCAGCTAGCACTCAAAGGCCAGCCGGCCCCAGGATACAAACAGGAAACTGCTTAGTAAGGGTTACCCAGTGATGGGGTCGTCAGGAATTCCAGGGACAGGTGAATCAGAGCCCTAGAGAGATGGTACCACAGAAGGGTTTGGGTGCTGAGGGGAACTGATGTGGACATCAGACAGTGGTGCGACCTCATAGGCAATGACCACCCTCTCCTGGTCTGTAATGGTACAACCGGGAGGATTCCTACCTCCTGGGGAGCTTGGCAAGTTAATCTAAGTAAAGCCTCATGTACTGAGCTTGGCATTAAATAAATGCTTGGTGTATGCATACCTGCATATTATAATATAATATGTGCCTATTAAATTATATATCACCATATATTATATTAAATATAATATGTGCTACTCCTAATATACAGGCATATGATACCGACATGTGTACATGTGTGTGTATACATATGTGTACGTGTATACGTGTGTGCACAGATATGTGCGCATAAATACACACACACACACACATTACAGATGGCAAATACAGCATACAGGTGATTCTCAAACACTGAAATACTGGCACCTTCTTTTCATAGCAAACCATACAGGGGAAGCATTCCTGTCTGCTTTGCTCCCCAACCTGAGAGAGCCCTGGAAACACCTCCTTGGATTTCCAGGTAAAATCATAAAACCACACGAGGCGGTTAAAACATGAACTCAGTAATCAAATGCAGGAGCTTTGCAGAAAACTGGATACGAATGCCATCTGTCACTGGTTGTCACTCAAGATAAGTTGCCTTAGACATAAAATGGAACAGTAGCTCCCTCCTGGGGCTGCCCTCACCCCACCCCGCTGCGGCGCACGGGGTGGGGGGCACTCAGTAAACAGTGGCGGGTGATGTTCTTTTGGTGGTCGGCAGAATCATCCTACAAAACTTGTTTGTGTGCTTGACTCTAAACTTAACAAAGAACAGACCAAATGGCAAGACTGTTGGAAACTTGTTTCCAATTTCCTTGCTGTTCCAAATTCTTAGCGGATAGATTATCCATCAGTTATTTTGTTTTAAACAGTAAAGCAAATCTGAGGGGGCAGGTCAGGTTCTTTAAATGTAACAGGTGGATGTGTTCACAGTTACATGAAGGCTCCGCTGAAGGTTATGACCACAGGGATGGATTCTGTTGAAGGAGGAGAAGGTCTGGGAGGGGTGGAAAAGGCACCCACAGAATTTTCCATATAAATGACACAGATTATTTCACAAACCATCATAAACTTGACCTGGTAAGTATATTTGCCAAGCTCGTTAAAAATCTTCACTGAGGATGACAGTACCCCCAGGAAAAGAAATCAGAGGCGTCTCTATCTTGGTTTGCATTTTTGGTAGATACACAGAGATGGAATTGAAGATTACAGTTGGCCTTCGAAGCCCTTCTCTGCCTTTGTAACTTTCGGCTCTCTCCCTGTTCTGTGGTCCCTGAATGTGGCACAAACCATGGAGAGAAAAAACCAACACAAGAAACAAACAGACATTCCGGGAAGACCACGGACACTTCAAACTGCACAGAGAACAGAGATTCCATGCAATTTATGTAGTAGCCAAAGAGCACAGAAATATGCCCGTGACCTTCCAAAGTAAATCATACGAACTACTGTCCGGGAAGCAGGTGCCCAAACCGCGGAGGGTTTTCAGGACGCATCGGACGGGAGCAGCTGATGTCCTGTCACCTCTGTGTGTTGGCCCACAAGTGCCAGGACCGGCACGCCCCCTCGAGGATGACCGCGCTGTCCTACTGCCACCCATCTGCTCTTCCCAGGCCCGGAAGACCCAGCTAAGAGTGGTCGTGTTTTCTCTGTATTGCCCAACAGATAAATGCAGCACAGTTCCAGACAAGAAAGAACGTGGGGATCCTCTCGGTATTCTCCCAGAAGACAATAAAGCCGTATAAAGTTGTATTTGTGGAGAAAATGTGACTTCAGATTATTTTTTTTACAAGGTCATGAAAACAGATTTGCAACAAAAAGAGTAGCGTATTCTTATTAGAGCATTTTTTAGCAGTATACCATGATCAACTTAAAACACAAAACCACATATTGCAGAGAGGAACTGGACTTT